TATTCATATTATTTTGAGTCAAATAGTGTAGACCACTGTGGGAACTGAGAGTTTCAGGAAAATCATAACAGCTCCATTAATTTGAGACCAAACAAACTGCTTTCTAGTGTTGATCAAAGATCTTAATTATAAGAGGAGAGACGTGTTTTTGGTAAAGTGGCCAATTAGCAGTGCTGGGAAGTACATTTACTCAAGTACTTGTATTTTACATGAGTATTTCTTTTTTATGCTTCACTACATTTCAGTGAAAAATATTGCATTTTACAATAATGGAATAAATAGAATATAAATACAATAATATATTATATTAAGTAGTTAAAATGACCACACAAATTATTCCTGCATGTCCAAGGATCAATCATAAAATTCTAATAATTTCTACACTGAGTGGGGATATTTAGCAAATAAATTACAATGCAAATACTTGACATTTACATATTAGTTTTTTTTACTTGTAATGGAGTATTTTTATACTTTGGTACTGCAATTTTTACTCTAAAAGATCTCAATGCTTCTTCCAACACTGCTAATTATATGGAAGAAGATTTAACAACAACACTTACAATGAAATGAGTAGTCCTTAGTGGAGTTTGTGTTAAATAAGTACGTTACAATATATTTGCTAAAACAAAGTGCAGCAGTGGAAAGCTGTGGTTGAACTACGCAGCTCCAGTAAGACCCCTCCGTGACAGACCCTGCTCTCCACCAGTATACGTTGCAACTAATTTACTGTAAACTGCATTGTTCTGACAGTGTATGTAATAATACTATACGGCATCACTTCATTGTGTTACTGTCAGTGTAAAATCCTTTTATTTCATAGTAATTACATTTGTGTGTGTGTAAACAATAATTATTTCCACTCTGCATTTCCACATTAAACAAAGAATATCTTATTTTTCATGTGGAGAGCCGAGACTGCCACAGCAAGAAAAAGCATCCTATTATTTGCACAAGCTTGCACACAGGGCAACAATGAGCAAAACAAGGCTGGAATTTGTGTATAGCACATATTCAGATATTTGGCAGACCTCCAAAATGGCAAAAACACCAGAGGCTATTTAAGCAAATGAACAATAAGACATGCATCATCTATTGTGGCCCATTCTGCATGGCTTGGAACCGGATCCACCACAAAAATTGGTACGTGTCCAAAAGCTTGAAATGCGGAGGTAGACAGGACGGATAAATCCTGCCCAATTTATTCCTAAATAAATGTATTTCTGAGATTTGTAGGTCCACTTTTAAGTTCATCATCTAGTTCTTGTTGGGACAGAGGATCTCTAAACATTAATGTTTTGGAAAATGCTCCTGAAGATACACATGTAAACAACATAATGTGCAGCGGATTTCACCCAGCGGGTTATGTGTTTAATAATAACGTAACAGCTGTTAGGAATCATGGAAAACAAAAAGACATCCAAGCAGTGTGCAGCAGACACTACTTTCATTTAGAATAATTCTTTTTTTTTTCTTTTTACATCTGCTGGGCCAGCAGGCTGCAGACCAGAGACACAAGCCTCTGGATTTCTTGGTATCTAGCGCCATCTGCTGACATGCACATGCACACACATATTTACAATGTAGAAAAGGCTGCATATTGTTGGAATAAATGTTCTATTTTCTGCGTCTGGGAGTGATTTTCTGCATGTATTTTATGTTTTCCAGTTAATTTTGCTTCCATTTCATATTCAAGAGTTCAATTAAGAATAAAATAAAAACCTATGTTTTCAACTGGAGGGCATTGAGCCTCGTTCCACATTAAAAACTGCCCTTCTTAAGGAGATGAGTGTAGATTTACTGTAATTACAACGGCTGAGGGGTTCCAGGGGGTCCCCAGAAATACTGAAATACTTTGATTTCATCATTATTTAATAGACTAGTTAGCCCAATGAGACAATGTATAAGAATGAATACTCTGTTCATAGGTTTCACACTCTTCATCTGCCAATCTACACTACAGACAGTTTGTTATGAGGCGGGGATGACACGACACCTCATCAAAGTATCATAATGTAAATCTGCAATCAAAAACTGATAATCAATAATGGCAAAGGTTAGGATAAAAGGTATTTCTGTGCAAAATGATGATGAATCTCTTGGTGTTTTGGCTGCTGCCGTCTACCACCTGCAGGTCTGCAGCTCAACATGAACGTGTCAGATCAACGCTTCAATGGGTAAGCATGCATAGATGTTTGCATTTACATAAGAGCGTGTATGTGTGTACACTGTGTGTTTACACACTTGTCCACCATTCAGTTAGCGATGCAAGACACAGATTAATCTTCCTGCGTGCAACAGAGAATAAATCACTTGTGCATAATTAGCAGGGGCAATGTTATAACTGACACCGAATTTCATCTTAATTACAGGAGGGGAATTTGTTCCATTAATTTTATGGGGGTTTGCATGAACACATCTCAGCGAAGTTAATCACACCTGTCACCGCTCTAGGAAATGCTCACAACAACTGGACGGTCACTTCTGATTGGGAACTTCTGATTTGAATAATAAGCATGCACTGCTTAAAAATAATGTGGTGTTTAGCTGACTATGAAGTAGGACAGGGTGTCATTATAGCAGCGAAGGTAACACATTCAGACGTGTGGAACTGTTTCACTGTGGTACAATACGTGAAACCACATAACATCCAACACTTTAAGACAATGAATGTATGTTTACATCAGCAGGAATCAATGCACACATCATAGATACATGACTTACTTATGTTTCTTATGTGTTTTCTTAGCAGACAAAATGACAAACTTATACTCTGATACAGGTAGATTAGTACTGAATACTAAAAAGATTCATAGATTTAAAGGTTTGTGTTAAAAGCTTATTATTGCATGTATTAAATACATGACTTACACAGTACTATCTATATGCTTGGCCACAGTTAGTTATTAAAGCTCATTACTCAATATACAGCAATAAGTAACTACAAGGTTCATTCACACACTGAAACAACCAATAAATACACATTATTTATTTAAATAGTGTGTACTTATTGGTTGTTTTGCATTGGCATCAGTTTATATATTAAGAGCTTCAGTGCACATCACATCAACAACAACACAACAAGGAGTTAAACACACACACACTACACACACTGTATACACTATAAACTATATTTATGTGACTCACGTTTGGACGTCCTAGTTCATTCTCCTTTTTTCAGTTTCCTCGTCGTGTAACGTCCCACTGCACAAGTCCTTATGTCCTCTCTCCATCGCTGCTAGACTACATTGGCGATACAAAAACACGATAACGTTGGCAGATATCAGCAACTAAGGAAAACAAGCTAACTTTGCCCCTTTTTCCCCCCGAAAATAATATTGATAAATTATTGTTTGAGAGGCTAGAGTATGGCTGGCTTCAAAGTTACCTTCACTTCAGAGTTTCCTATTCAAGAGACGTCCTTTCATAGTTTCTCAGCGGCATTAGAGCAACACAAACCCGCCTTGTTTGATAATTAATATTTATTAATTGGTTTCACCGGCCTCCCTGATGTAAGTGTGCAGTACCGCCTTTAACCACACACACTGGGCGCCATTCACCAGGCGTTAGTACCCAGAGGGGCGCTGTTTCACCCATTTAGGGAAACAACAAAAGGTGACAATTCGCCTCCATCAAGACAGAAAATATTTATTTTTGTTAACAGTAATTGGATTGCATTACTTATTGTGTTTTTGCTCCTCTAAACTGAAATATATTCCAGATATGTGTTTAATGTTATTCAGTAGCATCACTAACCATGCGAAGTATTTTTTCCAGGACAATTTAAAGTGCATTGAATTATTCCATTTAGTGCACATCTTCAGTGCTGATAACTAGAAGCAGCAATAACAGTAACCGCAGCACAGGAAGTTAGTTAATTAATTAATTTAGTTAGTTCATATTTATTTTGAAAGTCACAACCGGAAGTAGCTCGCCAGGCCTCTCGAGCTGTCAGCCAATCACAGAGCAACGATCCTTTGACGTTTCAACACAAACACTGACCGGGCAAAGGAGCTTCAACTCGTCTTTTTCCTCGTTTCCTGTCCACACCAAAAGTAAGAAACAAATGTCATCTTATCGTACGTCTTATGTAGCCATACTGCGGCCGTTTACAGCCGCCGGGGCTCAGATAAAGCATTAAAAAAGCTCCCGGTAGCTCCGGTTACTGTCAGCCTGTTAAGTGATAGCCGGGCTGACGTTACTGTTATCTAACGTCAGCAGCAGCAGGAGGAGATATTAAGATGTTAGTCGGCCTGGCTCCCACAAATCATTAGGTTAACACCTGGAGAGCTGGGCTTGTTGGTGGCCACGTTGGACTGAGAACAGGTGCTTTATGAGGCGAGAAGGTCACGTTAAAAAAAACACCAGCTAAAGTGTTTCATGTTAAACATGTTTAACTCGTAAAACAGGTGAAAACGCATTTTAAGTCATCGTTTACGTGCTGTTTTCCTTCACACTGCAGATCCGTGTCAGTAATATAAGTAATGCCTATTGCAGGGCTGCTAGACTGCACGATTTTTCTAATTGCACATGTCAAGGTTGGATTTGGCCACATTAATCTCCCCCTGTGAGCTTAAAGGTGGTCTGGAGTATAGATGAAGTAGTTTATATTTAGACCAAGACAGCAGCAGGCTGTAAGAAGCTAATCTGACGTGTGTGTGTGTGTGAGGGGGGGTTAGCCAAGACTTTATACACATATAGTGTGTTTGTTTATTCTGACTGTTCCCACTTAATAAAGTACACAACATGTGACTTTACACCTTCTCCCTTTTAGAGGCGAGGTTTGCTAAAAACCCAGGGTGAAGCAACAGAAAGTCAAGAACCACATTGTGACAGCCTGGACATTTATTACCACAAATTAGAGAAGCACACGCTGTTCTGTACATCGTCTAGAGTGACACCCACATGCCTTAAGCTCAGTGACCCGAGTTGCCCTTGACAACACAGTGCACCATGGTAGTAGACGCAGCCGGGGTATCTTAAAGTACACCTGTCACCATTGTGGCTGTTAAAACGCGTGCTTCTGTTCGCAGGCGGCGTATGATGCTGGTGATGCAGTTGCTGAGAGGTGCAGCGGAGCATGCTGGGAGCAGCTCCCGGTGCGGCGTTGAGCCGTTGATCTCGGCAGTACGTGGTATCAGCTCATCCTCGCATCAGTTTTCTGATTTTGGGAGAACTCATCCTTCGTCCTGCACCGACACCGACCACCCCAAAGTCCTCATCACTGGTCGGTTTTTATGCACTGTCACTGTCTGTGTGTACTGCGTCATTTTTCCTGTTATTTATTCTCTCTCTCTCTTTGTACTCAAAGCTTTTTCTATAATATCAAGTCAAAAACAGTGATAGTGACTCCATGGTAACTCGTTGTTCCTTCTCTTTTTATCATTACAGGAGGGCTCGGCCAGCTGGGGGTGGGTCTTGCCAAGTTGCTAAGGTAAGGAGTTTACATAAGCGCTCCTATTTCAGTTGTTTGTCTATTTCCAAAGGCGGCAGAGTTGTTTGTGTCCAGCAGCAAAGTGTTAGAGCACGGCAGCAGGAAGAAATCCAAGTGCCACTATCAGGAGGTGACACTAGTAACTGTTCACTAGGAACGTGATCAGTAGCTCAAAAAGGCTGTGAGAACAGTTGTTACACGTCTCAGATCTTCTGTTCGGGGTTAATTGATCCGTGTTGTCCCCAATGTTTCACCCTCAGGAGACAATTTGGAAAAAACAACGTGATCCTGTCAGACATTAGGAAACCCCCCAACCACGTCTACCATAATGGTGTGTATCTTTGCATGTGTTTCCATTGAGGGGTTCCTAAACTAGGCTCCTTAGGGTCAAAGTGTCCACAGGTGAGTTGGGAAGACACTGTTGAAACCAGTGACTTCTGTGTGCAGGTCCGTTTATCTTCTCAGACATCCTGGACTTTAAAAACCTCAGGGAGCTCGTGGTCAACAACAACATCAGCTGGCTGGTTCACTACTCAGCTGTGCTGTCCGCTGTGGGAGAGAGCAACGTCGCGCTGGCGAAAGAGGTCAACATCACGGGTACATGCACGCACATTTATGTTATATTGCTGTGAAACTACTTAAGCTAAGACACTTTAATACGGATTCTAAGAGTAGAGCCATCTTAACACAGACACTTATGCACAGCCTCTCTTTCTTTGTAGGTCTCCATAACATATTAGACATAGCAACCGAACATGGTCTGCGTGTGTTTGTCCCCAGCACAATCGGTGCCTTCGGCCCATCCTCGCCCAGGGACCCCACCCCTGATCTGTGTGTGCAGAGACCACGAACCATCTATGGTGTGTCCAAGGTCCACGCAGAGCTGATGGGTGAGGTGAGACACACGCAGACGCATACTTTTAGTACATTTTCCCTCAGTGTTTCACCACAAATCCCTGTAAAGCCAGATGTTTTGCTNNNCTTTCTCTCTGTAAGTACTACCACCACAGGTATGGGCTGGATTTCCGCTGTCTCAGGTATCCAGGAATCATCTCCGCGGACTCCCAGCCTGGAGGAGGCACCACAGGTAAGCAGGTCTGAGGAGGAAGTGTCTAAGACAGTGCTTTTAAATGTTGTCTTTTGCTGACTCATCAGCCAGATAGGTTAGCTTAGCACAAAGCTCACTAATTAAACACATTAAACAGATGAGATGTAACATGTTCTGGCGTCATATGTTTTTCCTTTTCCCAGACTATGCAGTCCAGATCTTCCATGCAGCTGTGAAGACCGGTTGTTTTGAGTGCAACCTACGCAGTGACACAAGACTTCCTATGATGTACATTGGTAATGCCGGACTGTTATGTCATTTTGTGGTAGTTAGTTTTTCCCCTGTTGACACTTTCAAGTAATATTCCTCTTCGTCCTCCATCTCTTTCCTCTCCTGCTCCCCTTTTACGTTGCCCTGTCGCCTCCTCCTCTCCAGATGACTGTCTCAGGGCTACTCTGGAAATCCTGAAGGCTCCGGCAGACACGCTGGTCAGCCGCACCTACAATATCAACGCCATGAGCTTTACACCACATGACCTCACCCAGGAGATACAGAAAATCCTGCCCGACCTCAAGGTCACCTACAACGTGGATCCAGTCCGGCAGGCTATAGGTGAGACAGCTGGGAGAGTGGTACAATGATAGTCATATTACTACAGCATCAAATATCCTAAATGTGTTTTCTCAGCGGACGGCTGGCCAATGGCGTTAGAGGACAGTGCAGCGAGGAGGGACTGGGGCTGGAAGCATGAGTACGACCTCCCGGAGTTGGTGCAGACCATGCTGACTCACATCACTACGGGCAACCAGCTGGCACAGGCCTACTGAGCCGGTTGTAGCTTTTGCTCCATATAAAGATTTATCTGAAAGTGTGTGACTTTGAGGAGTTGAGAGAATTTTTAGCCTTCACTTTTTCATTTTTAAAAGTTACGTCTTAACAAAGTTCACTAAGTCTTACCTGAAATCCTACAATTAATAACAAGAAATGAAAAATTAAAATAATCAGGGGGATTGGGATCATTCAAATAGTTACCACCAATTAGACAATGAAACTAAGATATAAAGCTCAATATGAGAGCTATAAAAGCATTCCAGACCACACAGTATTATACTCTTGATTAGATTTGATTTTGCACTCATCCGCATACATCTCACCTCTCTTTTTCCTCTCTCTTCTTGTCCATCCATTTATCTTTTTGTGCGAACACCAATGTTGTGTTTGATTTAGAGTTACTGAAATTGTAGGCGAGCTGAGTTCTCTCTCTGAATGTACTTTATCTGAGTATTTATGTTACGTCGTGTCTGTACGTGTGCAGATGACTTTGCCAGCCTCCTGAATATGCATCTGTCATCTGTAGCAGCTAAACGCTTTGCCTTAGGGGGCACTTCTGCCATCCTGAAAACCAGTTGGCTTCGAGTAAGAGCTGCACTCCAACTGGTCACCGATATGTACTGTGACCATAAACACTGAAAGGCTTTTCCCTCGGGTACTGTTACTATAGAAACCCCAGCTAGTGGTCCTGTAGGGATAGTTTACAGGTGCTTTAACCGTAGTTGCCTGCTGTTGTTTCATGTGATGGTTCTGTTTGCAGGAAGGGAATCGCTGTAGGCTGTAAAATAAATGTTTAAGTTAAAAGAAGAATAGCTTTTTGAAGCTACTCGACCTTTGCACTAGATGCTTTTAATGTTTTTGTTTCTATTTGAATTATTTTGTTTGTCGCTTTGTGTTTAGAATCTGCAATCAAGGTGCTAAATATTTATGAATGTTGTTTCAGTGGATGCAGGAGTATATATTCTTCAGTTGTGGAGCTGTGCTTTAATGACTCTTAGCTTTGTGAAAGAGACGTGTAGAATGAAGGGAGTGGGCATTAGAGCTCAAACTGTGTTTTTTTGAATATTGATGTTATTTATAATGGTATTCTTTGCAGCTTTTTCTGTCAAATCAAAAGAATTACTTTTTTTTAAATAAATACTTGAATGAAACCAGTTCTTATGACTTTTCATTTGTAAACACTCACAGTGTGTATGCACATGATCATAAAGCAGGTTGTGAACATTTCTGTGCGTCTACTCTCACTGTTCTTGACAATTAACATCTTTTGAATTCCCAGTATAGTATCCCACAAATGGATAATTAGATGTTATTCCACACTGGACACTGAAGCAGGAACTGCAACAAAAACTTAATAATCCACAAGCAAGAGAGTTGAATAGTTGGACTAAATAATTCTCACTGAGGTCCAGTCTTTATTGCATTTCCAGACTCTCTCTGTCCTGTTTTTGTTTTTGCTGTGTTCGGCTTTGCCTTTGCTGGTGCGTCTGGATGCGAGCTCACAGGATTGTGGAGCCTCCCGGTGGCCAATGCCGCCTGCTGCAGCTTGATCTGCAGGATGTCACTGAGCAGGGAGGCCTCTTGGGTCAGACTCGCCAGCATCTGGTCTTCTGTGGCCCTCACTGCTGCACGAATCAACGCCAAAACCCCCTACAGAGAATTGCAAACACAATGCTAGTCAGGTCATGAAAGATATCCCCAAATGCGCTCAGTGGTTTTCTGTTCTGTGTCCCTTTTGTCTTACCTCTTTGTCCAGATGCTCATCCTCAGGTACATCTATCTCCCCCAGTGTTACCCTTGACCCATTTCGGAGCGCCTTCAGCTTCTCCTCCTTCTGAAGCAAGGTTGCAGTTAGCTCAGCTTGATGTTGCTGATGCTCCCACTCGTGCAGGTCTGTGCCCTGCAGCACGGGTACAGTGCACAGATCAGCAATGGGCATTTTGTTGGAAGTTAAGACAAATCAGTTCATTGCAGCAATATTAAAGCCATAACCTGACTTTGTCATGTGAAAGAGATGTCAACATATATTTCTAAAAGGCCTGAAGTATAGCCGAGGC